TGTGTGTACGTGCACCTATATGTATATGTATGTGCATTTCTGTAGTGTATGGTATGTGTATACATGTGCATATATATGCATGTGTGAGTATGTTTGTATGTGTGCATGTGGGCACACTCTCATGCGCTTACACGATGGGAAGGACCAGCCATTTACCTGGATAAGGCGCACAGGGTTCTGCATGATGTCCTCTCCCCCAAAAAGGTAGAGCCTTTGGTCTTTCACAGCAACTGCAGGGTGGAGAACCCCCACTGGCATGCTGGCCATGCTCTCCCAGACGTTGCAGTTGCTGTCGAATCTCTCCATGGAGCCCATGACCTCCTGCCCTTCTCCAATCCCCCCAATGGAGAAGATGAAGTTCTTATGGGTGGTACTCCTGTGGGAGTAGCGGGCCACCAGCATGGGCTGCCCCAGGCTCCACTGATTGAGTTTCAGGGAGAAGATGTAGACGTTGTGACTAGGCACGCTCTTCTGGGCGCCGACAGCCATGCCTCCCAGCACGTAGACGCTGCGGTGCAAGGCGACGGCTGTGGCCTTGTAGAGCCGGGTCGGGAGCTTGGCGAGGCTCTGCCATTGGCCAGTCTGTCTGCTGTACAGCAGAACATCCCGGGTGGTCTGTTGGCTGTTCTTCCTTCCACCCAAGAGGATGAGGAAGTCTTGGTAAGAGTTTCTTGGGGGGACGTGCCATGGAGGTTGAAGGTCTGGGGCACTGGTGGCACCATACAAAGGAAACATCTGCCTCTTGGCTGTCTCCAAGATGATCTGGCATGAAGGCGAGGACTGCAGGAGGGCATCATTGGCAATGAAGTGATGGAAGAAGGCCGGGTGGATGTACTGAAGCCTGACTAGCTGGAACAGGTCCTGCATGTATCGTTTCCGGGCCTGGAGGTCATGCTTGATCCAAACCATGAGGGCCTCAAACACCTTCTCCTCCTCCCCACAGAGCCCATCATCTCCCAGGTAGTCTCTCAGCTCCAAAGCACAGAGCTCCTTCAGGTCTGCCGAAGTGGACACCTCTGGGAAGTACGTCAGGGCCACCTCCCTGGCTTTCTTCTTGAGGGTCTCGCAACTTAAGATCTCAGAGAGTCTGAGCATGCCCAGGCAGTTGCTGGGGGTCAGCTGGCTCTGGAGGTAGGAGGAGCAGGCCTCAAACAGCTTGGGGTACTGGAGCATGGAGGCAGCCTCCATCAAGGGCAGAACGTTGTCCGCTGTGATGTGCACCGCCCCCGTGTACACGTACAGAACTATCTGCTCCAGCGTCATGGAGTCGATGCCCTTCAGCTGGACTTTGGCCTCCCTGCTCTCCCGGAAGCTGCTGCAGAACATGGCCCTGAAATAGGGGCTGCTGGAGGCCAGCACATTTCGGTGGCAGGGGACCTCCCAGGCCCCGGCGCAGATGCACACATCAGTCAGGATGCTGTTTTGTCTTAAACCGTTGAGCTGCCTCAACAATTCAGAGGAGAAGTCGTGGTCTTTGAAGAGCAGCCCATCTGGCAATGCCTCGTTCATCTTGCAAAGAGGAGAAGAAGTACCAGGAGGGAGCATGAGCTGGAGGGTTTGGCTACAGGGTCTCCAAGACTTAGAGCATCTGTGTCCTTTCTCCAAGATGTGTGAGGGTATCGCCAAAAAAAATCCCTTAGTGAAGATTGGAAGGGGAGGCCACCTGCACTCCAGACCTCACAGCTCACACTTCTTTTTATGGTTATGGTTACTCTCAAAGGTAACAGGCAAATAGCATCTTCAGATAATCTGAGGAAAAAAGAGCAAACAATCAGAAACAGTGAAGACTGTTGGAAGTTTCTTGATGGTCAGGGGGCAGAAATGTTAGCCTGAAGCAAAATGACAGTCCATGCATTTGGCCACCAAAAGTCTGCGAGCCTTTCTCTAGATTCTCAACCTGTCTATTATTTTGTAAACTTTTCTAAGCATCTTTCTGGGTCTTGGTGATTCCGGAAGGACGTCATTCAGGGGGCGTGTCTTTCTGCTAAGTAGACAGGAATGAGGGATGAAATGGACCTTTGCAAAGTTTTATTATTTTTTTTCCCTTGAAAACATGACTTCGTGAAGTCTTTAGGGTTTTGTTTTCAAGATGGGATAAATAGGAAGCAGAGACCCAATGGCACCCTGGGCGGCGTTTATTGGATGACGCCTGGCAATCTACCTGTAGGAGAATGAAACGTCAGAGACATTTACCTTGTTCTGCCGCAGTGCCACCCGCTGATGCCTGGTCTGTCTCGTCCCTCCGGAGTTTCCACCTCTGGCTCCAAGTGAAACCATAATCCCAGGCCTTTCCTTCAGTTGGCAAATGATTTGTCCTGGGAGAGCTCTGGATTTGTTTATGCTGAAGGCGCTTTCACAGTTTTCTAGAGCTTTGTGAAAGAACCGCTGGGCAGGGAGACAGTGTATACATTCCAGGGCTAAGAATAGTTGCATATGTACTTTCCACTGTTATGACATGTGACTTTCCAGTTGCCTTTTGCAGCAACCGAGGGCCGGCAGGTCCGGCGCATGCCCACACGCCCTGTTTCCTTGGCAAGTGTTTACATCGGCATAAATAGATCCGAAGGAACGGCTCCTCTGAAAGACAGGACTTTGCTGCCCATTTGGAAACATCCCGAGTCCCGTGTCCTAAAAGTGCCTGAGAATTCTAGATGTCTGTAAACAGGTTGCTGTGACCTGGTAAGAGTCACTGAAGATAGCTCTGGGTGCATGGAAGGTGGCGGATGGTCACAAGGGAAGCCCACATGTGGCCCCAGGGGTGCTGTTTAATGGGTCTCTACTTCCCACGGCCTGCCGGGATCGCTGGAGAGGGCTGTCATTTCCTCCTCCGGGTTCTGATATGATGGAATCCATGACAAAAGTTGTTTTTAATGTTCGTGAAGCACCCCAGAGTTCCCAGGCTTGGAAGAACCAAAGCTTTGTTCCTTCTTCTTACCGCAGGGGCTTCTGTTTGAAAGGAGTGAGGGCAGCAGTACCTCTACAGGACACACCTGCCTCTCTCAGAAGGTGCTGATTGCTCTTCCATTAGTTGTTTTAAAAAATTTTTTTGCTTTTTTGTTTTACTTTTCCATTTTTTTTTTCTATCTGAAAGGCTTGAGATAGAGGCAGGAGGCAAGGCATATTGCTCCAGGGTGTGCCAGAGAGGGAGAGAGGGAGGGAGAGATGGAGGAAGAGGGAGGGAGAAGAAGAGAGAGAGGGGAAGGAGGAGAGAGAGAGAGAGNCACACAGCTAGAGTGAGTGGAAGAGCTGGTCTGGATGAGCCCAGTCCGTGCCCTTAACCTCCATACTCCAGGCTCTGCCTGGGGCCATGTAGGTGTGGCCTTACTTGATGGAGGCTTTGGAAACTGGAGGTCTCTTGAGGTCTCTGTCAATCCTTTAAGTCAGTGGAGCAGAGGAGGCCAAGTGCTAGAGACAGAGGCAATCACAACTGCTGTCAAGCCACATGGTTTTATCTGAAAATATGTAAGTGACATTCTTTGGAAACTGGGATCCATGGAGGAAAAGCAAACACACTGGTTGCTTTTTCCTTGAGTGAGTAATTGCCTCCTGGCCTTCTGTTTTCTATCAGATTTGGGTATGATTTCAAAAATAGATTAAACATTCACTCACAATCTTCATAATACCCCCAGAGAGGCCAGAGCCAGGATATGAAAGAGTGGTCTCTGACCAGGGGAGGAAGTGATACTTTGTTTATGGTAAAGGATCTGCTTAATGCCCTCCAGCAATAGAGGTAGAAAAAAGGCCAGGTAGAAAGGTACACATACTCACACACTTCACACAGTAGCCCGGCTGCAGTATAATTTGTAAAGGAATGCCTTGTGAGGATGAAACATCCTATGAAGAAGTCTTTGAAAATCCAACCTATTCCACCAAGAAACCCCAAACATCTTAAACTATATTTAAATGAGTAAAATGTCCATTTCTAAGCTAATGCTATATAGATAAGAAAGCTTCCCAGTTAATATTTTCCCCCTTCTCTTCACTGCAGTGTTAAAGGATCACTCCCTTGTCCATGGTTTTTTGTTTGTTTGTTTTGTAAGGGTCCTGTTTGTACTATGAATTTCTTGATATGCCAACTGAAAAGAGTTTGTTTTGAGCTTTGTATTTATTCTTAGGAAGTTGACAATTTTGCAGTGTGGAATCATTAGCATACTTGTTCACTGTATTTTGGAAAATAGTTAAAAAAAAAAAAAAAGGAGAGGCTCTAGCTTTATATAGAAGCACTCTATTCCATCTGTGTTGTGTGGCCAGAGCTTGGAGCGGAGCAGAATGTCTCTCTTGGCTTAAGTAAACAAGTGGGACCTGGATCAGGCTCAGAATCTGCCTAGATGGTCAGGGAGGAGCCACAAATATGGGCTGGAGAAGTGAAGGCAAGAGGAAAAAAAACAAGAAAGGAATGAAATCAGAGTTGGTCACTTTTCTCCATATGCACTGGCACCAACTTAGCCTAAGCTACCACTGTCCCTTACCTGGACCTCTAGAGCTGTCCCCCCAACTCTCCTCTCTTTGTCCACTCAGGCCCCCTCCAATCCCTTCTCCAGAAGGTATCCACAGGGAGCTTCTCAAAATGCAAATTTGATTACTTAACCCATCCTGTTACTCTCAGCCTACAAACCCAATTTCTTGATAAAACCTACAAAGCCCAGTCAAATCACTCTCATTTCCATAAACACCCATCCCTCAAGAATGTTCCAGAATTTCTATAGGAGGGATGCAGGGGCAGCAGTCTAAGGGGGAAGGGGCTGCTCAGGGTAGTTTGGAAAGGGGGCTGATGAGGATTATGTGGGGACTGCCCCCCATCCCCCAGCTCTGCCTTGGCACACTACCTTTCTCCCCATTGGTCTGTGTGGCAGCCACATTGTCATGCTCTTAGTTTCTCAAGGCGATGGGCTGTGCCCCCTTTCTGCTTCAGGGCCTGTGTACCAGCTGCTCCCTTACCCAGGAACACCACTGCTCTCTCAACAGATGACTCTGCCTTCTGCTGCACACGGCACATTTGTCTGCTCAGAGAAGCTTCCCACCCATCTCTGTCCATGTCAGATCCTTCCTTCCACCCTGTGACTCTCCCTCCTCATCCTCCCCTGCCTTCTCTCCGCTCCTGCCTCTGCTCAAGTCAGCTTACATCAACCTCACCGAGTTCCCTCCAAAGTTCCCCTCCCTCTGGACTCCTGTAGGCAACACTCCCTACGCTCCTCCCCCCACCCCCTTTGGCACTTAGAGCACCCTTCTAGTCAGCATCTGAATTGTAATTGTCTTGTAAACTCCAGGTAGGTAAGTGCAATATACTGCTCAGGCCTCTGTTCCAAGGGCCTTCCCTGTGGTTGGCACTCAGTGTCACTCGTATACATGAATGAGCAATGTATACGGTCTCATAATCAGGGGTCTCCTTGATTATTTTAAGGCAGGCTCATTCAAGTTTTTCATATCAGTAGATGAACTGCAGAAATTTCTAGAATTTGCATAAAGTTGGAAAACACTTAATCTTCTTTATTAATTACACTGCTCAGGGAGCTTTGGGTGAAATTAGCATCTACCTATCATGTAAGGCAGGGTTTCTCCAATCTGGCTGCACATTAGAATCTCCTGGAAACTTTTGTAAATCATAAATGTCAGGATTCCACACAAAGAGAATCTAATTGAGCAGATCTGAAGTCAGGTTCCAGGGCATTTGGTAACAGACCGGACCAGTGCTTCGGAATCTTCTCTTAAGTCCTTACTGGTTTGGGTTAGTAGCACCCACCAAATTCCTATAGGACTTCGCTATCTGACATTCAGTGTGTTCTACCTTGAACGTTTAGGCATACTTTTTTTTTTT